GTGTGTGTGTGTGTGTGTGTGTGTAAGCCACAGAGACATCTGTCAGCCCATGCAGAGCGACAGACACAACCCAGTGGCTCCTCTAATGAGCTCACTGCTGCTGCTCTGCCGTGGGGATCCTCACACCCCCCAACACATTTGAGCAACTAATTAACCTAAAAGTTGCCTTCTTAGAAAAGATAGTCACGATTCATTTGGCCCTCAAAGAAAACTTCTTAGAGTAAAAATTATGTGCAATTTTTCCTCCTCATCCTTTATTAGCATTTGGACCCAGTCTGTGTGCGTTGTCTTCCTGTCACCTGTGCCACTCTTAGGTACACAATGTCAAAAATCATCAACAAAATCTAGTTAACACCTTATAAACCAACTTTATTCCAACTCATTACAACAGATTTTACTTTCGTCTTTTGAATTTTTCGTCAATTGACCCTTATTTACACAACATTAGGCATGATAGTTAAATGAAATTCATTCAGAAATGTCGCCTTTTTCAGATAAGGAGGACCCAACTTGATGATTTATCACAGAAGTGACAAATGTAGTTTTATGTTTTCAAACCTTTTGAACTGTTTTAAGGGCAGCACATAATGACTAGATGCTACCAATTTAAGTAAAACACGCATAATTCAATGGAAGTAGTGATCATTCATTTTTCTTGCCTAGTATGGAACCATGCGTGTTATTTCTTGTGGAAATTTTAAAAAGTGTCAGTGCAGAGCCGTTTTACCACGTATCATGTGAATGCAGCTTGACAGTCTCAAATACATTTCTGCACACACAAATACATTTATTTGCAATATTTTGGTGCCAGAACTTCATCCGGCAAAATGCATGTCGCCCCAACTCCAAATTAGCTGAGTCCCCCCCTCCCCCATACAGTTCTTGACTTTACGCTGACTGCTGCTTTCAAAGGTCTATCAGCAGAACCGAGCCATGCTGTCATCATCAGCTCCGTCACCTGTCCAGCAGCCAGCTGCTCCTCCAGTGATAAGGCTACCGTTTATTTTGGGATGGAAATTCAGCCTCACTGTGTCTGCTCACAGACTGCACCCCCGATGCCTCGCTGTCAATCAGGCAGACAAGGTTCTATTGGAGTTACAGAGTAAGCTGTATGTGATTGGAAACCAGAATTGGACAACAAAGAAACCTTAAAATAGGAAAACATCTGCTTAAGCAATGAAAGTTACTGAAGAATGGTGGTAAACTTCAAACAATTAAAAGACTGATAATATACTCAGAAAATACATTTAGTATTTAAATAATCACAAAGGACTTAATGAACAACCTGACTGAATGCAGCAATCCTGTTTCCTAATTTCCCAGAAGTGTTATAGCCACCTTCATATTCTTATTTGCCTCGTCCTCCTCATTTCAAATGAATCAGTGTCAGGCAGCGTCTAAATGGGATGGGGACAAACTGCAGACTGCCAATGCAGAACACACACTGAAAACACAACTGTCAAAACAGAAACACAACGGCTGAAGGGATTGTGATTTGCTTTTAGGATTTGAGCTTTCTCTGCTGCCGTTGAGTTTTTCTCTTCAGGGCCACCGTACATTCTGGAAATCTTGTTGCTCTTCCTTGCCGAGGTGTTTCAATCCTGGATGTATAATAAGAGGTTTCGATCCATCATGCACAGTGACATTCTCTGCCTGTAGGACGCCAGCCTTCAGGGCCAAGAGCCTTTGATTGGCCGTCCCATGGTTTAATTGAAACCGTAAAATTATTTTCTTTTGGCTCAAATGCTGAACCAGATCAAAATGGCTTAGGAGAAATGTACTGCTGGGATATTCTGTTGAGTGTTTCATTGCAGCTTGTGGAGGAATTAGTAAAGGCCTGACCAATGGAGGATGGTCAGACAGAAGGAAAAAACTTTAATGTAATGGTCGGAGTGTTTGCTGAATAATAAATGCCAATATTGGAACACAGCCGTACACTATCTGCTCTGCACCAAACTACCTGCTGAACATTTCATTTTTTTTATACTTCATTTTTTTTAGGGTGGGTGAACTCAAATGTTTGTAATGGAATCATATTTGGTGCAGGCATAATAACAGAAGTCCCTATTTCAAAAACTGGGCGAATCCTCAGATAAAAAAACAGCATAAGCCAAAAAGTGAAAACAGTCTTCAGTGACCGATCTGGTTCGATTCACCCAGTCCTGCATGGTGCTGTGGTCCTTAATATTAATAAATGATCAATTGTATAAAAAAAAACGATGAAAATACTTCAGACTGCTCTTGGGGCCATTTGGAAAGCAGCAGCTGATTAAAGTAGACCTAACTGCTGAACATCGTGGAGCCTTTAGTGAGCCAGGTATTTACTAACGAATGACGAATTTACATCTCCTTCATCAGGTGATCAAATGTCAGTGTTTCAAATCTATTAATGCAGCTTTATTCAGTAAGATAAAAAATAGTAATATTGCGAGAGCCTGGACTGAAATGACTCATATGAACTGTTATCACTTCCAAAGAATCAAATATCCATTACAATATAATTGGGCTTTCAAATAACTCCAAAGTTGACACACTGTGTCATTATTAGACAACGCCAATGTCTTTATGTTAACAGTGCAAAAGTCTACGTTTTGTGGTGGAAGGTTCATGGGTGGTTCTAGGGGGGGCAACAGGGCGCAGTGCCCCTGTAACTGAGCTTGGACCCCCCTGTGACCCCCCTCCAAAAGAAAAAAATGATAGAGATGCAGTAAAGACTGTGTTGTGGAAAAAACTGGATTTTTTTTTGTTTAATTTGAATAATATAATAAAATCAAATTGTAACTTAGACATTGAGCAATATTATGTTACTAAAACAAACACCAATAATCATATTCATATTTTTTTGTGGGCTGTGACTATACTGAATTAAAATGTTATAAATCTTGAGCACATTTCGTATTGTAACGCAGTCTCTGTGTTTTGTTGCGCATTAAATGTGCTCGTCTCATAAAATAACTGGCCCCCCGTAACATTTGTATTGAACCGCTACTGGGAAGGTTCAAACTAAATCAAAGGACTTTCACCCAGGATACGCTATTTTGTGTCCGATATCAAACTAAAAGTCAACACAAATGTTTATTTTTCTGTGCTTGTGTTATTTCCTGCAGGTTTAGTCAGGTGTGAGGCCACCTGTCATCAGTTGATCAGCCTGTGAAGCTGAGTGCTCCCTCCAGTGGAGACTCTGTGTACTGCACCCTCCGTGTCCAGTGTGTCTCTCTTTGAACCACATGAGGACTACAGTCAGTCATACAGTGGTAGCAGAGGAGTATACAGAGGAGGTGACTATTTTAAGGCCAATAAAGACGATGGATGGTCTCTATATGATTGAATAAAGGTGGATGAACCTCATCTGCATCTGAGGCTCCACAGTGTCTGCCGCTCACAGATGAAGGCAGTAACTGTGATCTCTGGTGGGGAGGGTCAGCTGGTGTTGTGAATCAGGCCGCTGAAGCGTCACACACGGCTTCTTCACAACCCCAGGGACCCTCCCTACTACTTCCTGCTGGGATGTCTGAAGATCAGAAGATAGCCAATATGTCTACAATAAGGGAGAATGGAGTTATAATTATCTATACCGACTATCCAAATTGTGTTCAAAGCTGTTTCCCTACAGATTTATGTGCCATCATTTAGAGTACATTTCAGAAATGTATACTGTATATTTTTGTATCGAGAATATAAGACAATATTTTTTATTCTAGAAACAAATGGAAAACAAGTAAGCACATCTTCTATGGGTCGATTCAAAATGTTGATAGCCAAATTCAAGCCAATGTATTTGTCAGAACAGTACTTTGTCTTTGGTAGAGTAAACTCGAAATTCAGTTTTTGCACTGACTCTTTATTAAACGCGACACCATGTTTATTGAAAAGGTACGACTGATCTTGTTTCTACTGGAGAGAGGGAACTTTGTCCCGTAGTTTGCTGCTGTATTTACACCCTCCATCTGAAGGAAGGGTCAATACATATGCACCTTTCTTCTTTTTTTTGCAATTGCTCATGTGCCGGGTCTCGACAAATGTTTGAGTGGTTAATACATGTCTCATAACGAAAGGAACAACGTTGGTGTCTTTGTCTCATTATTGTAACACTCATCAAGGGACATTTTCACACTCAAAAAGATACACAGATGTTGCATTGTACAGCTTTTACTAAATCATACACACATGTATAGTACAGTCTGATAGATAGATGGATAGATAGATAGATAGAAAAACAGATCGATAGATGGACATATAGATAGATAGATAGACAGATAGACAGATAGACCGATCGATAGATAGATAGACAGACAAACAGATAGATAGACAGATAGATCGATCGATAGACAGAGAGACAGACAGACAGATAGATAGATAGATAGATAGATACATAGATACATAGATAGATGGAGATAAATAAGAGTTTGGCAACACACAGACAAATGCATGATAGAAATATAAAGGGTGCGTTGGCACATAAACCCAGGCTTGTGTCAGGGAGGTGGATTCATGGTTAGCTGGAATGTATTAGGAGGCTTTTAATTCAATGAAGCATCACACACTGGTCTTCTGAATCTGGGATACTTCATTCAAGTAGGAGATGAATAACTTGGTTCCTTCAATGTAGTTGTACCTGAGAGAAGAAAGGAAGGAAATGGTTAAACACCTGAATTGTTTCAGCTGTAAATCAGACAGTTGGAAAGGAAATCGATTACATGTTTAACCACATTCAAGTTCCATTTAGCTCAGGTTCTACAAACATCCACCACTATCTAGAGCAGCACCCTAATAACACTTTAGAGACAGATAGATAGATAGATAGATAGATAGATACAGATAGATAGATAGATAGATAGACAGATAGATGGATAGACCGATAGATAGACAGATGAAAGCATTTCAGCCCTCTTTTGTGATCTTTTGTTGTATTTGTATTGACATTAGATTCATGTTATCCCTATGAATGTGTTGAACATATCCTGGAATATAATATAAGGTTAAAGGATTATGTAAGAGATGATAAGACTGCGTGAGCCCTGGGTTATACTCCTGCCTATTGCCTTCTAAATAGATCCCTGCAGCTGGTGTTGTTACACAGTAACGCTCCAATAGACTGATTTAGAGCTTGCTGTGAATGAATTGGAAATAAAAAAATGGTGGTAAACCAATGGAGTCAAACCTGCTCATTTTCTCATTCTGGGAGTGCATCCCATCATCGAAGCCTCCGATGGGCATCATGATGATGCTTTTCCCCAAAACGTCCTGGAACGTCCTGGCGATGGGGATGGTCCCCCCTTCTCGTATCAGGTCAGCATCCATGTCAAAAACTGGAGAAGATGTATATTTTATATAACAGTGTTATTTATAAGGTATCAACAATAAAGGTAAGCCAAAAGCAATAACACCCTATTGGTTTTGTTAGCTAATTTGATACATTCAGTGTTTGGATATCATTTTCTTTTTCTCCTCTGCTTAAGAAACTTTCAACCCTTAAGTCCTCTCTACTCCTTGCAGGGCTAAGATGCTTTGTGAATTACTTATCCTTACCATGATCTAGTTTTATTTGTAAGGGGAAAGTCTTACAAATAACAAAGATAAATATTTGAGTTCATAGAATATATATCTGGTGAGAAATCTTGGGTCTGTAAAGAATCCCATTTAGAGGATTCTGGTGCAGTGTGAGGTGTGAATGTCAGGTGGTCGTGGGGGGGTGTTCAGTACCTCTCTTGATAGCAATCTTCCCCGCCTCATAGAGAGGATGCTGAGTGTCAGCCAGCCAGGGCTTGGCCCCGATCACCATGGTGACCTTCAGCTTATTGAGACTCTTCCTCTTGGCAAACACTGAGTGAAGGTAGTCTGTTACCTAAAGTATCCAATCAACAAGATAACAGCAGAGATATTTTATGAAAATAAAGTATACGTTTTCTCTCAAAAAAGACATCATTAGACATCAGAGCATACCTGTTTTTTCACCATAGCAGGGTCCATGTCTGGGACTTGTCTGATGGAGAACTTAGCAGTAACTTTAGCCGGGATGACAGTCTTTGTGCCAGGGTCCGAGAAGGCCCCCTCTATGCCGTGGATGGTGACAGTGGGGTAGCGCCACCTGTGTGCCAGCAGGTCAACCTGCAGGAGACATACCATGATAATCCCTTTTCTTGTTGTGTCCAGCTTGCTTTTAGGATTTTATAACAACATTCAGAATCAGAATCAGAATACCTTGATTTGACCCATAGAGGGGAAATGTACATTTGTTACAGCAGAAAAGAGCCAAAGACAGCTTAATATTAACTAATAAGCATGCATAAAAAAAAAATATATTAAACATACAAAAAAAGAAAACAACACAATTTACAAAATACACATCCTGTAATAGTGCATAATTATAGCTATGCAGGCTTGGGGATTAACGGATTACATGTAACGTTATCAGGATACAGAAAAAAAACTGTATTTCATTAGTTACATAAAGAATAGGAATAGTAATTGTAAGTAATAGTAAAACACAAGGTGTATTTGTAACAGAATACATTTTGAAAGTAACCTGCTGTTTTCAGCTTTACATTGCTAGCTGCTAGCCGCTGGCCCAGCTACACTGAACAAAAATATAAATGCAACACTTTTGTTTTTGCTCCCAATTTTCATGAGATGAACTCAAAGATCTAAAACATTTTCTATATACACAAAATAACCATTTCTCTCAAATATTGTTCACAAATCTGAAAAATCTGTGATAGTGAGCACTTCTCCTTTGCCGAGATAATCCATCCCACCTCAAAGGTGTGGTATATCAAGATGCTGATTAGACAGCATGATTATTGCACGGGTGTGCCTTAGGCTGGCCACAATAAAAGGCCACTCTGAAACATGCAGTTTTGCTTTATTGGGGGGGTCTGGGGGGGGTCCGAAA